AGGAGCGTCATTGCTGCCCCCCCCAACTGTAACCTTTCCTCCCTGTTAGATGTTAATTGATGGGTCAGTGGCCAGATTCTCAGCTTTGCTGGATGAATATGCCACAAAGGAACTTTTGAGCAAAAATTAGGTCTGAAAGAGAATGCATTTATGCATGTAAAATGTGAAATACTGAATACAGGTTGTGTCTCAGTGGTCACTTTTGTCCTAGATTAGATAACTGTATGAAAGGGATGTCAGGTTTCTTTAGGAAGATGAGGCTTAATTCCCTCTGAAACTAACTTGCCGCATGAACATGTCTTGTCAGCTTTGAGTCCTCCTCTAATAGTTCCTGGCATGTTTTTGTGCACAGCACAAATTAATATAAGATATCCCTGTGACTGTTTAACCTAGAGTACTTCCCCAGCATTGGTTTGTTCTGCTTAGCTACGTCTAGAATTTAGTACCTGTATACCTTCAAAAGAAAATACACAAAGCGTGTTTTGTATGTGTAACATTCTTCCAACAGTATTTTTTTAAAACAAAAGCAGCCAGAGAAGCATTTATATGGGAATGAAAATTCCCCCATAGCTGCTTTTCTACCCACAGGGGAAAATATGTGTGTAAGACAGAAAGATTTCACAGAACCCTGGTCCACATACACAGTACTGTATTAGAGAAGCACAAGTAAGCAGGTGTTTTTCTAACCATGTGGTGTAGCAGTTAGTGTACCGCGTTTTGATTGCTACTTTGCCATGAAACTCTACGCAGTCTCTAACCAGCGGATCAGGACCCTCAGATGGCTTTGACGGTTGGCTTTTTCTTCAGTGTGGTACACCTTATGCAGTTGTCTTATGTTTTCTTGCCGCCAGCCCTTTTGGTCTTCTGGCTGTGGTTCTTGACTTTGGTGAGGACAAAACTCAAATTCTCCTTCTTTTTGTTACCGGATTCTGATACCATGAGTCTTCCTGTCACATGCTTATAAATCTATGGGTCCAGCATCTGGAAAAGATCACTGCATTAGACAGCCTTGGTCCAATCAGTTTCTTTCAGTCTAATCTATCACAAAGGGTTGCTCTGAGAGTAAAATTAGAATGTAAGCTATCCAGGTGGGAGAGAAATTTAATAGCATTGAGTGCAGAAACTACATACTATAGATAAGGAAAAGCATAACTGTAGTAGTAACTTGACATCCCCATCTCAAAAGGGTCCTATGGGCTATGTTAGAGAAGAGGGTGGGGGAAGGGTGGGAGGTACATGAGGTTTGCTTGTCATTATATTTACTATCCTATGTGGAAAAACAATAAAAATATCTTAGTGAAATAAAGGCTCTTAGCTGATGGGGTGGCAATAGGACAAGGAAAAATATTAATGAGCCATTCCAGTCCTAGGATTAGCTGAATTTCTTTGTTTCCCTGGATATGTTATTGCATACCATAATTCTGTTTAGCTGAGAATACCTGGCATGTATGCAGAATATAGGGTCCTTAGTCCATATCCTGCATCATTAATTATTTTGGTATACCTTTCACGGAAGTATTTCCAACTGCTGAGAAGTTTTGTGGAATTTGTTTTTCTTTTCCCTCCACAAAGGTCAGGAAACTGTGGGAGATGATCTGGGTTCATCTTTACAACCTCGTAGTAGTTTACCGCACATTCAGAACACTCTGTCCTATAAAGCACTCAGTTTTCTGTATGACCACTGCACTCCTGGTGTTAGTGTTTTTATCTTTTGGGAAGAGATACAGAGAAAGGCGCAGAAGAATTTAGGGGTTACGCATCAGAATTAGACACTCAAAAGAAACAGTCTTGTAGTCTAGGGACTTGAATGAGTGTTTTTGTTTTGGTGCACGTTTACTTGAAGCTGTCCAAAATGTGGCTCAAACAGTTTTGAATAAAATTGCTTATGCAATACTTCATTAAACTGTCTCCCAAGCATAATGTGGCTCTATACAGAGCTGAGCATTGTCAGATGAAAAGCTCCAGCTTGGCATGTTGAGTTTGGCCAAGCAATCAGGCATTGCCCAGGTTGTAACAGAAAGAGACAGAAGTGGACCAGCCACTTACCTAGTAAGAAAAGCAGTCTGTGATGTGGGGTGAGCAACACCAAGAGCTGTTTAAGACAAGGTAGAAATGTAGATGGGAGCCATTGCTCTCTTTTTCAAAGCATTACTGCTAATTTTTGTTCCTTCTTTTTGGAAGGCTTTATTTTATCATTGTAAAGCCAACATAGGAGGATCCATGGTGTGGGAATGTGTTAGTCATCCCTTCCTTCCATTCTGCCTATTCAGATTTAGGGGTAAGAGATACAGATGCTCATATCTGTTACCAACTGCCAAAGAAAATGAGTTGAGGAGAGGAATGGACAAGTAGCAGGGGAGGGGGGTAAATAGCTCCTTACGTACCACCAGTCCTTACCTCAGACTGACTTTACCTGTGGCTGGTTTACATAATAAAGTAGAATCCCTGGGGAAGAACAATAATTGAATTACATGTAGTTCAATGTTTGGTAACATGGGCACCATGCCCTATGCAAATGTCATCTTTTCATATACTACTAAAAGTGTGGGGGGGAGTAATTATAATAGGAGATCATTGCTCCCCATATGCTTTACTATAAGCAGTGGAGTCTGTGTACAGTGTGACAGGCAACTCTGGGTCTGAAAGGAGATTAAAGCTTTTGCTCAGATTTGATTCAGTCATCTTTCATCTTCAGTGCAGCCCCACATTGGGACTGCACCTGCGCAGGCCATCTGCAGATTAGCTTTTTTCCAGGTAAAAACTATCTGAGGGGGGGTGCCCTTCCCCCTCCAGAGCTGACATGAACAGGTTTTCCCGCCAAGACGGTCACATGCTCTGGAGGCAGGTGCCCCCTTTCCCTCAGTTCCTTTTTTGCCACTACTTGTGTAGGAGCATTCCAGCTTAGCTGTTTTTGGTCTTCGTTTTTACGGAACTGTTGTTTTTTTCCCTGCTTCAACTTCCTCTTTTTTCAACTGAGGTTTTCCTTTTCTCTGTGGAGGATCATTTGTGACTCATCAGCCTACCCTTGTGCGCCCCTGCTGCTGCCGCTTGTGGTGCCCAGCGTGGCTTCCAAGGCGCCTTTCAAGAAGTGCACAAAATGCACAACCAAAATACCCAAAGTGAGCTTTGGTCTCATATGTTTGGGAGAATCACATAGTGTGGTTGCTTGCAAAATTTGTCACGGCTTTACACCTAAGGCACGTTTGAACAGGGTGTCCCAACTGAAGGCCACGCTATAGGAAAAGGCTCTGTCTGCCTTGGGACCGTCCAAGTTGGTTCCAGAACTGGAACCTCTGAAACTGTCTTCCTCAGGCTGGTCAACCTCATTGGTTCTGGCACTGGAGCCCCATTCCGAACCATCATCTGTACAGTCAGTTCCAACGGCCTCAACATCCAAGCAGATTTCACACCTGCCTAAGAGAGCCCCTTTGGTTACTTCTGCCTCAGAACTGAGATGTCCTCAGTCTCCATCGATGCCCCTGTGTTTCATTCCATTCCTTGTCGGAACCGCTGTCCCAAAAGACAAAAGAAAGCAAAGAGTAAGGAGAAGTCCGGCTCTGCTTCGACGCATCATAAACATCATTTGTCCTTCCTGAGGCATTCCTCCGAAGAGCAGGATGTCGTCATTGTGCCCCCGCACACCCCATCCTTTCACTTGGGATCTCCTGTCAGGTCACTGTCAAGAGCTGAAGAAGAGCAATCCAGTCTCCTGTCAGGGCTGCTGGTGCTACCTGAACCGACCATGCCCTCATTGCGGCAACAGTGTTGTCATCTGCAGTGACCTTCATACTATATGACGCCAGCATATCTTCAACAGTAGCCTGAGCACCGGCCTCAGTGACCTCAGCCTCCACCTCCTCCTTTAGACTTTAGACATGATTTGTTTTTCCTGGTTACCTGGAAGTCAGACATGATTTGTTTATCCTGGTTACCTGGAAGTCCGCTCTCTTTTCATGCCACCTGATGTGGACCCTGAAGAGGAAGGTACTGTGGCATCCTGTTATAGCTTAGGGAGAACATTAGAACCATCTCCAGATGAAAGGGTTGCGGACCTGACCCCTATTTCCCCAAATGAATATTTGAGACTTTATAGTGAGTAAATGCTTAGGCTGGCTAACGCACTAGCTATTGACATCTACACATCAATTAATAGGCCAAAAGACAGGATTTTAAGTCGCTTTTATCCTGACTTGCCTGGTATTGTGGCGTTTCCTGACCTGACAGTACTGATTTGGCAAAAACCTGCATCTACCCCTGCTACTTCTCACAGGGTTGAAATGTATGCAGGTAATCACTACCGTATTAAAAAGCTGCTATCGTAATGCAACTGCTGTATGGGGAAAATGCACTGTTAGTGAAGAGGGGAAGCAGTCACCCATCCGTGTCCTGAAAAGAGGCATGAATTCCAAACCATTACACAGTGTGCAAGGAAAAAGGGGTGTGTGCAAGGGGGAAAATCGGTATATTTCCATTTCAGGTATATCAGACCGAAAAATATCAGTAAATACCAAATTTCCAAAATAACAATATGATATAGTGGATGTGGCTAAGCAGCTTGGAGAGGGAAGGCATTTAAACATGCCTTCTTGCTCTTGCTTCCCTTCTCATATCCCCGGACAGGTGACTGAGGAACTGAAGGGGGAAGGGGGAAGCTGAATGCATACCCTTATTAGACAGCATACTGGATCTCTCAATATCAGATTCCTGAATAAGTGAAAATGCCTTACTGTGGAGATTTTTCTAAACTCATCTTCTAAAGAAGTCATTTTACAACTGCGCAGCTATTAGTGTTTTGGTGACTAAAAAGGCTTTTCAAAACATTGAATGAAGTTTATCTCTGTGGCAGTGCAGTTCTATAGCAGTCTAAATATTAAGTTCTGAGTAGTCCTCTGTAAAAGGGGAATCTGATTGTGCTTTGTAATTTTGAAAGCTTGCTGTAATCACCCACATTTTAAAAAATCTGAAATTGGAACTTTATCTCCCTTATTCTCTCTTTTCAGGCTACTGACAAAGAACGTGAATTTGCTGCTGCAGCAGCAAAACAACTGGAATATCAGCAGTTTGAAGACGACAAGCTGTCTCAGAAATCATCCTCAAGTAAACACTCTAGATCTCCTCTGAAGATAGTGAAAAAACCAAAAAGTATGCAGTGCAAAGTGACCCTCTTGGATGGCTCAGAATATGGCTGTGAAGTGGAGGTAAAAATCAGTGTGTGGGGGGGTGGGGGTGCTTTGACTGTGCCTGATATCCACTGTGCAGTAAATTAATTGTATTTGGTTGACGAGTGGGAGTAATAGAGCTCTTACGTCCTCCTTTTTATTTCAAAAGGACAGTGTTTCCAAAAGGAATATAGTGCTTATGAACTCCTGTGGTTGGCACTCTGGAATACTTGCAGTAGAAACATAAAAGAAACGGACTATTTCTGCTTCCAGGGCTTCCTTTGATTCTGTCTCTTTGTGATGACTCACCTAGCAATTCAGCCTCTTCTGGAAAATACAGTAGTGGCCCTCATGGTCATGGAGGATGTTGAGAGCAGAGCAGCAGGAGACACCAGCAAGTGAAAACAACAGCAGTATAAAGTGAAAACTGTCAGGGTTGTCACACTCTGTAGCTGTGTTCTCTACCTGTGTCGGAGTCCAGTGGAAGAGAACTGTATTAGGGATTGGTGGTGAGAAGGTTTTTGCTTTGTGTATTTGATAAAGAATAACCTGTTGAGAGTTTGACAGCTTTATTTTCAAGGTTAGGATCTTGTTGGTGATTGTGGAAAAGAAGCAATTTATTTATCACTCAGGGCTGCAGCATGCAGTAGTGGTGAAAAAGGCAGACTCCATGGTGGGATTATTAAGAAAGGATTTGAAAATAAAATGGCAAGCATCTGTGCTGCTGCTGCTGCTGCATTTGGACTATTCTGGACAATTTTGATTGCCCTGTCTAAGGAAAGACATTGTAGAAGTAGAAAAGGTGCAGGAAAAGGTCAATCAAAAGAATTATGGGTTGGGGCATCTTCTGTACGCAGAGAGACTCTGGTTGCAGCCCTGAGGATGCTTTGCTCGGAATTCTGAGTAGATTTGTTTAGGATTGCTTCCTTTGGCAGCCATTTTTGTGGTTGCCTCCACCTCCTATAGCAGACATTTTGTGGTTGCACCTACCACCCTCTCAGAATTCCAAAAGTGCCCTCAGGATCAAAAAGGTTATGGATTCCTGTCTTGGAGACTAGGGGAAATTCTGAGAGTATCACTATCTGGAGGCCATTTTTTCCTCACATTCCTCGATCGTTTTGAGACAGGAAACTGTAATTCCCTGGGGGCATGTAATTCCTTGTCCTGGTGGGTAAATGGAAGGCTTAAGTGGTGACCCACCATGTCAGATAATGATAGCACATTGAGTAGGGCTTCAGATTACATGTGGTCACATGGCCTGTTTGAATCTGTTTATGTGGTCTTGGTGTGGGGCTGGAAGTGGAGTCATCTATATATAATAAAAGAAAGTCCCCTCACCGTAAAAACAATGCCCAGGCCAAACTGCTGGACCTAGAGACACCAAATTCGGGGGGGAGTGCTCCCACCGCCATGTAGGTGCTCGCTAAGAAGAGATTTTTAGAAATTCGACCCCTACGTGGGTCAAAACAGGGAAAATGTGCTCCCCCCATTGATTCCTATGCGGCTGCCAGGCAGCTCTCTCCCTGCACACACACACCCTCTGATTGGTCAGCTGCAGAGCTCAGTGTTCTGAGGTAAAAAAAA